AAAAGAAGAGAGAATGTAGGGGTTAGCAGTTGTGTCCTCTATAGCTCAGGGTGGTGAAGAATATGGTCTCAAATTATTCCATCTTAGGGTTTGAGGCAAAGTGATCCGCTTTTCCCGCCCGATCTCTTTCTTCTTTGTGTACAAGTTCTTTCTTCCATTCTACCATAAATAATCAAGTTGTGGGTCATCTCCATAGTGCTAAGGTTAATAAGAAATGGTCCCAGTCCTTGCACTTATTTCTTTGGCGGATGACTGTCCTATTTTTTGTGTGAGCTACAGTGGTTGAAGCGGCAGTTTTGAAGCTAATTTACTGCTGTATGAATGCATATGGCCAATGTTATTAATTAATAATAAGTCACTATTGTTCTTTCACCAAATGTTGTAGTGGAACCACACAACTTAATTTCCCAAAAACTGGGAGTGCAACAGGTGGTTCGCATAAGTAGTTATACTGGGATGCCATTTATCAATTGGATGGAACAAAAAACACAAATATTTCAGTATATTTTGGACCTAAGGTGGCGAAACGAATTCTTAGATGGAAGGAACGAATGTTTATCCAAGCAAGGAAATGGATTTGTTTTGATAAAAGTTTTATAGCACAAAAACTGTTTCCATATTATCTCATGTCATTGTTTCTTTTACCCTCAGGTATATTTGACTAATAGCGAAGATGTTTAATGACTTTTTTGGTCTAATTGGGTTCTGGTCATCCTCTGGGATAAAGTGGCAATGGTGGGAGCGGTTGTGTGCCTTCAAAAAGAGCAAGGGCGGTTTGGCTTTCGATGAAATACAATAGTTTAAACAATGGATTTACATTGCCAAGCAAGGGTGGAGGCCTCAATGCAATCGCTACATTCTTTTTGGTCACCACCATTTAAAGCTGATACTTCCCTGAGATTTAGATTTTTGCCATGCGGAGTTAGGTCGAAATCCATCCTATTATGGAGAAGTATATGACTTCTCGATAATATTTTATAGAATGGATGCTGTCGACAATTATGGGAATGGCGGGTCTACTCTTATTTCCATCAGGTCTATTGGCTAATGGACAACTCTAATCCTCAAGTTATGTCATCAGTTTCCTGAGGTTGGGAAGCTGCTACGGTTTCGTCTCTCATCAGTGGAATCTCCTTTATGATGGAAGGAAGACCTTGGTTCGTGATATTTTTCTTTACCTCGTGATGTTGATTTAATTATGTAGATCCCTTTATCGCCTTCCACTTCCTAAAGCCTGATTCTTGGATCTGGTCACAATGAGGCATCAATGGTAAGTATTCAATGAAAAGCGGATTAGGGTGGCTATGTAGATGGCAAAATGGGACATGGGTATTGGTTAATAGTAGATGTATGGTCATCATTTGGCGAGGCTTAGTCCAAAAACGGTCCCTAGCATCATTGTATGAGCGAGTTGTGGGCAATACATTGCTTGCGTGTGTAAACTTACAATGGCGCCAACCTAAAAAAAATCGAGATTTCATCAACTTTAATCCTTACTTGTGGTTTGGCAAAATGAGATCAATAGAGCATGCTCTGTTACATGTGTATATAGCTAAAGATTGTTGGCTTTTAACACTGGTGGGTTTGGAGGCCATTAGGCAAATATGCAAAGAATGGCTGTTTATCTTTAAGCGCTTAAAAATAAATCGACAAGGGAGGAGGGTTTTTATGTTTGTGCTTTGGAGTTTATGGTGGCATCAAAAAAAGTTATCAAGTGGCTAGATTGTTCAAAATGGCAGGTCCAGCATGAGCTAATCTGTTTTAATAAATGGGTACGATTCTGAGTTATCTAATGGTTACTAAAAATGGCAAGCCACCTCCTTACGATTTTCTGAAAAATGCGATGTTAGATTGTCACTTAATAATACTTGGTTTGGTATGGGTATTATTATTAGGGACTATCATGGCTAACTGTGTAGCAAGTATGGCCTTTATTCAAGACGATGGTTGATGATCCTAAGTTAGGGGAAGCTTTTGTTTTCCGCAAGGCATTGACCTGAGGTTAAAGCCCTTTTACAATACCAGTCAATTATTTTTTAACCTTATTGTCTACCTCTCATTCAGGCTTTGGGGGAGTTAGATAAATTTGGAATTTATCTTATTTCGGTTTGATTGTCCTTTGATTGCAAAGGCTCTTTTACATAAGCTAGCA